AAATACATTTTCCAGTGACGACAACAACGTCTTTTAGGATTAAATCTTGGTCCCACTTCACATTAGTTTATTTACACCGACAGAGAAGAAGTTTTTGTTCCGTGTTTGATGTTTTCTGTATTTTGTGGAGTGTGTGTCGTGCTCAGTGTTGGGAGTAACAGAGTACAAATGATGAGTAACTGTATTCAGTTACAGTTACTGTGTCAGTGAGTGGTAATTGGATTACAGTTACTTTGTAACTGTAATATTATTTTTCTGTTTTCACATTTAGGCTGTATCCTTTTTTTTTTTTTTTTTTTTCCTGGCAATTCCACTCATTGCCGGATACTAAACCAGGTCCATACCAGGTCTAAACCAAGTCTAAAACCAGGTCTAAAACCAGGTCCAAACCAGGTCTAAAGCAGGTCTAAAACCAGGTCCAAACCAGGTCTAAACCAGGTCTAAAACCAAGTCTAAAAACCAGGACTAAAACCAGGTCTAAAACCAGGTTAAACCAGGTCTAAACCAGGTCTAAAACCAGGTCTAAACCAGGTCTAAAACCAGGACTAAACCAGGTCCAAACAGTCTAAAACCAGGTCTAAACCAGGTCCAAACCAGGTCTAAACCAGGTCTAAAACCAGGTCCAAACCAGGTCTAAACCAGGTCTAAACCAAGTCTAAAACCAGGACTAAACCAGGTCTAAAGCAGGTCTAAAACCAGGTCTAAACCAGGTCTAAAACCAGGCAGGTAAACCAGGTCAAACCAGGTCTAAAACCAGGTCCAAACCAGGTCTAAACCAGGTCTAAAACCAGGTCTAAACCAGGAAAGCAGTCTAAAACCAAGTCTAAAACCAGGACTAAACCAGGTCTAAAACCAGGTCTAAACCAGGTCTAAACCAGGTCTAAACCAGTTAAACCAGGTTAAACCAGGTAAACCAGGTCTAAACCAGTCTAAAAAAGTCTAAAAACCAGGACTAAACCAGGTAAACCAGGTCTAAACCAGGTCTAAACCAGTAAACCAAGTCTAAAAAAACCAGGTCTAAACCAGGTCTAAACCAGGTCTAAACCAGGTCTAAACCAGGTAAACCACTAAACCAGGTCTAAAACCAGGTCCAAACCAGGTCTAAAACCAAGTCTAAAACCAGATCTAAACCAGGTTTAAACCAGGTCCAAACCAGGTCTAAAACCAGGTAAACCAGGTCTAAACCAGGTCTAAACCAGGTCTAAACCAGGACTATAACAGGATTTAACAGGACTAATCCTGCCGTGTGGACGTGTCTCTTCTTCTATCAATAATATTTTTAATACGGTTCAGTAAAGTCTGGACTTTTTTATTGTCTTAAGTGAAGATTTCCTCGTCTTTGCTTCTCTACAGCAAATCGAGTAATCCAAAGTATTCAGATTACATTACTCACTTTAAATGACTTAATGGATTCCGTTACAAACTACATTTTGGGGTGTGTAATCTGTAATCTGTAGGGGATTACATTTTAAAAGTCACCTTCCCAACACTGACTGTACTAACCTGAGCTGTGACGTCATTGTTATCGACAGTCGGCGCGGCTCGATGTGGATGATGTCCTTGTCAGCTTTATGATGAACGGGTTCTTAATGTATTCAGACGTGATGTTTTTACAGTGCGCCTCTGTCACATGACCTTATGGATCACGTCTGTCCTTGTGTGGTCTGTGCGTTTCTCAGGTTCACACTAAAATCATGTCGTTTGGAGCTAATACTGATGTCACATAGGCTGCGTTCAGACTGAGGCCTGAAGTGACCCAAATCAGATTTTTTGGCTTCTGTGTTCCTGTATCTGATCTTTTAATGACCACACAGATCTGATTTTATCAAATGTGACCCAGGACACATGGGCTACGTTCAGACTGCAGGGCTTAACGCTCAATTCCGATTTTTTTTTTGTGAAATCCGATGTTTTTTCGAGGTCGTTCACATTTCCAATTAAATGTGACTTGTATGTGACTCCAGTGTGAACATTAAACGGCCCGAAAGTGTCCCACATGTGACACTGGAGACACGACGACGTCAACCGCAGCGAGCGTCTCTGTGTTTACAGAAGTTGTCCAAACATGGACGCAGCATCGAGCACCTGGAGATTTTAAAGTTCCTCTCGTACCGGAGCCAGAACATGAACAACTTACTTGTTTTAAGGAGGAGATTGAGAAGGAGAAGGACGAGGTTTTTGGTCGTGGTGTTTTGTGGGACAGCGGCAGCGACGTCCGTTGAAAGGAACGTGTGGATGTGGAGACGGAGCCAAGAGTGGTGAGTGGAGATGTGCTTCACTTCAGTGACACGGAGTTCATTAACAATTTTCGCCTACTTCAGCGCAGAATAGTGACGTTTGTGTCTTGTTGATAACGTGTAGGTGGATGAATGCACTTTGGCCGTTCACACTGAAGTCACATGTCAAAAGATCAGATATGTATCAGTTTCAGGAGCACATATCCAAGTGTCCTGGGTCACATTTGAAAAAAATCAGATCTGTGTCGTTCAGACTGACATTAAAAGATCAGATACAGGAACATAGAAGCCAAAAAATCTGATTTGGGTCACTTCAGGCTGCAGTCTGAACACAGTCTTGGATATGTGCTCCTGAAACTGATACATATCTGATCTTTTGACATGTGACTTCAGTCTGAACGGCCAAAGTGCATTCATCCACCTACACGTTATCAACAAGACACAAACGTCACTATTCTGCGCTGAAGTAGGCGAAAATTGTTAATGAACTCCGTGTCACTGAAGTGAAGCACATCTCCACTCACCACTCTTGGCTCCGTCTCCACATCCACACGTTCCTTTCAACGGACTGCCGCTGTCCACAAAACACCACGACCAAAAACCTCGTCCTTCTTCTGTCGATGACGAGGCCCCGCCCCCCTCCCCCCGTACGCTGTCCTGGTTTTGACAAACACAAATCTGGTCACACTAACCTGTATTCACCTGAGTCATGTCTTTTAATCCGACAGAAGTTGAACCACATCAGCGACACAAGAGCTGGAGTTTTATCTTCACTTAGTTTATGCAATTAGTGATGTAGTTTTAAGTTTTGTTTCTGTGAGATTTGAACAAAACTGAATTAAACACATTATAATGTCAAACGGGCTGATGTGGCTCTAGAGTCGTTACTGTTTATATGTCGTAAAGTTGAATTTATTTATGCAGATTAGTGCAGATAGTAATAATAATGATGATCATTTTAATATAAAAACGTTAATGATTAATCGATAATCGATCGTTAATTCTTCCGACGATCGATTAAGAAAATTTCATCGAATGCCCATCCCTAGTCTTCACTGTTTCGTCCTCTAAAGTCCCTGTGCCGATATGATGCAAACTTTGATACGCAGACCACAGAGTGTGTGTCTAAACTATTGCATAAACCAGTTTCCTTCCTTTAAACAAGCAGCAAAATAGTATCACTGTCAAAGAAAAAAATTGTGAAATATACAAAAATACCTTCGATTGATACAGTGGCCCATAATATTGATATTGTGTCATTAATTTAAACAATACAGTGAATCGATATTTTGATATTTTTGCACATCCCTGTTCATTGCAATGTCTGCAAAATAAAGTCTATGGTGTAGTCCTGGTGTAGTCCTGGTTTAGTCCTGGTGTAGTCCTGGTGTAGTCCTGTAGTCCTGGTAGTCCTGGTTTAGTCCTGGCGTAGTCGTGGTCTAGTCCTGGTGTAGTCCTGGTGTAGTCGTGGTTTAGTCCTGGTCTAGTCCTGGTGTAGTCGTGGTTTAGTCCTGCCGTAGTCCTGGTATAGTCGTGGCATAGTCCTGGTGGTTAGTCCTGGTGTAGTCCTGGTGTAGTCCTGGTCTAGTCCTGGTGTAGTCGTGGTTTAGTCCTGGTCTAGTCCTGGTGTAGTCCGTGTTTAGTCCTGTAGTCCTGTAGTTTAGTCCGTGTAGTCCGTAGTCCTGGTGTAGTCCTGGTTTAGTCCTGGTGTAGTCCTGTAGTCTGGTTTAGTCCTGGGTCTGGTGTAGTCCTGGTAGTCCTGGTAGTCCTGGTCTAGTCCTGGTGCTAGTCCTGGTGTAGTCCTGGTTTAGTCCTGGTTAGTCGTGGTTTAGTCCTAGTCCTGGTAGTCCTGGTTTAGTCCTGGTTGGTATAGTCCGTAGTCCTGGTGTAGTCCTGTAGTCCTGTAGTCCTGTAGTCTAGTCCTGGTGTAGTCCTGGTGTAGTCCTGGTAGTGTTAGTCCTGGTTTAGTCCTGGTGTTAGTCCTGGTGTAGTCCTGGTGTTAGTCCTGTAGTCCTGGTTAGTGTAGTCCTGTGTAGTCCTGGTCTAGTCCTGGTGTAGTCCTGGTTGTAGTCCTGGTAGTCTAGTCCTGTAGTCCGTGTTTAGTCCTGGTGTAGTCCTGGTGTAGTCCTGGTTAGTCCTGGTGTATAGTCCTGGCGTAGTCCTGGTCCTAGTCCTGGTTTAGTCCTGGTGTAGTCCTGGTTATAGTCCTAGTCCTAGTCCTGGTGTAGTCCGTGGTTTAGTCCTGGTCTAGTCCTGGTGTAGTCCTGGTTTAGTCCTGGTGTAGTCCTGGTTTAGTCCTGGTCTAGTCCTGGTGTAGTCGTGGTTTAGTCCTGGTTGAGTTTTAGGATCAAGTCTTTAGTCCAGGTCTGGTCTTAGTCTCAGTTTGGTCCTGGTATAGTTTTGTGGAACATCTTACATCAACATTCAAGTTATATTTGTCTTTTTCTCCCCGTGTCTGAGAGGATGAGTTTATAAAAGCTTTTCACAACTTTCAGAGCCCAGAGCAGAGTTTTGTCAGGTCTCTAAAGCTAAACTAGCATGCTAATGTGTTCTTCCTGATAATCGGACAGTATATCGTGCTATAATAAGATGCAGACCTCACACAGTGGACATATTTTGACCTCAAGAGCTGTTTATATATACAGTGTACATCTGCACTGAGCCAACACATGCTGCTCAACTCCGAGGGCAGAATCAGGTTCAGGACCTTTCCGTCTGTGTTGGTGTTTGCCCCTGACCTGTGCTGCCCCCTGCTGTTCACAGGGCACTCCGGAGCGTCTCATCATGCACTTGGTGGAGGAGCCGTCGGTGGTGGACCCCACGTACATCGAGGACTTCCTGCTGACCTACAGGACCTTCCTGTCCAGCCCCATGGAGGTGGGCTCCAGGCTGCTGCAGTGGTTCCAGGTTCACACGCTCAGGGACACGGTCAGTAAGAAAATCACCGTCCGCCTCCTAAATGTTTCACGAGTGTTCAGTCGTCCACACATGCACCAGGTTATCATCCATGTTAGAATGTTTCCTCATCACAAACACACCTGGAGTTGTGTTTGTTTCATTCACATGTTTAACACACAAACCTGCACATTTAGTTCTTCTCTCAAACAGTGTTCCACCTTGTGATGTCATCATGTGGTAATTCAGGAAGTGCTCCACTCTGTTTTCAGATTCAGATTCAGAAAACTTTATTGATCCCATAAGGTACAGGTGTCAAACATAAGGCCCGGGGGCCAGATCCGGCCCCCCAAGACCTTTAATGTGGCCCTTGGGTGATTTTCTACTAAAATATTATAATTATATTTTCTATTAAAAAATCTTGGTAATTTTCTGTGGTGTTTATCACAGCAGCGTCTCCAGCGTCTCTGTACGTGGCCCCTCCCACCAGAGCAGCACAAATGAAGACTTGTCTCTTTCCAAACGCTCTTAAAGGACGATCGTTTTGACTGTTGACCGTGACACCCTCATCAGAAAAATGTCCAACATGAGAAAAGTGGAGCCGAGTGCAGGATTTTACAACAAAAAATTGACTTATTCCTGTTTGCATACAAGTTCATGTTAAAACATTGTGTTGAAATTGTATTTTTCTTAAAGTTTCAGATTGTTCATAATATTATAATATTATAATAAGAAAGAGTTCATCAATTAAAAAAGATTTCTGTAAACCCTGTAGATTTGTGTTTCTCTGCACAAATATTTGAACTTATTGTTATTTTTGGGGTTTATATGACATGAGTTTTCTGATCCGGACACTTTGGGATCAAAGTCGGTTGGATACGACCCCCGGAACAAAATGAGTTTGACACCCCTGACATAAGGCAAATTAACAGCAGCATCTCTGAGCAAAAACAAACACAAACAAACACAAAGTGAGTCAGTCCATCGTCGTCCACCAGTGGAACTCAAAATAAAAAACAAATTGCAGTTTAAAACTTTCATAAAACTGTACCCTTAGAATTTAACAATTTAATAGCACAGGGCACAAAAGAATTAGAAAATCGGTTGGTTTTCCGTATTGGAGCATAAAACCGACGCCCATCAGGCTGAGCCACGAGACACTTGGCTTTGCTCAGCACCTGCTCCTCCCACAAAGAACTCAGGCCCTCAGTTTGATCCCTGTGATTTTTGAGCAGGTTTTAACAATATTTTGAAGTTTGTTTTTATCCTTCACAGACAAGGATTCAAACCGGCAAATAAAAGAAAAGACTTTCAATAAAAGAACAATAAAAATTGTTAAGAATCATTTTGTTCACATTAACGTTTTTAAAGTCCATACACCTTCACTAGAATCATTTGGATGATTCCAGCCCTAGAATTGCCCAACTCTACTAAAGTAAAGGTAAAAGGAGCTGTTCACTTGAAAATTATTGCTTCATGACATCACAAGGTGGAACAGAACATTTTGAGCTGTGGAGATGTAGACAAATAATAATAATAATAATAGTGTTACTCTAATGTGTGAATGAAACAAAACACAACTCCAGGTCTGTTTTTGAGGAGCTAACAACATTCTAACAGGGCTTAAAACTCCCAAGAGTCATATTTTTTATAATGTAAAACCTTTAAATATTCTAACCAAACACACGGCCTCAGAGACGTGTTGACATGACGTGAAATCGATGCAGAAACAGCTCGCTCAGCACTCGTTCAGTCTGACCCTCTGTCTTTCATAACTGCATTAATCTGGCATTAGTCTGAGTCTGTCAATACTCTGTATGGACATGTCAGCCAGCGCTCGGACCACTGCACAGCAATGCATCATGGGTACGAACGACCAGCCGTCCCGACTATAGACTCAAACTTAACTGATGTGTTTTATCCTCTGCTTGGGTAAGGGAGCCCAGATGGGACACAAATCAGTCACACAGAGGACACAGATTTAAACTGTCACTGTTTTATTATGTGCTTTTACAATAGATCCAGGAGCAGTAAAGATGTTTAAAGCGCATGTTTAAAGGTTGTATGGAGGATTTTTTTTTGTTTCAAACTGTCAGTGAAAGATTAAAATACCATTACAGAGACGCAGCAGCTTTGTAATTATGATGACCAAAAAAAAAAAGAACGAAAATCTATCAACTGTGGACGTGTTGAGGCCAGATAAACATCAGCCAATAGAAAACGAGGCTCCCTCATTTTCTATTGGCTGGTTTTAGTCCTGGTTTAGCCCAAAATGTGAAAACTGAAAATTACTGCCCTTGTTAATCCATTTACTTCGAAACCGAACTAGATCTAAACCAGGACTGAAAAACCAGAACTAAACCAGAACTAAACCAGGACTAAACCAGAACTAAACCAGAACTAAACCAACTAAAACCAGACTAAACCAAACTAAACCAGGACTAAAACCAGACTAAAACCAGAACTAAACCAGCGACTAACTAAACCAGAACTAAACCAGAACTAAACCAGGACTAAAACCAGGAACTAAAACCAGGACTAAAACCAGGACTAAACCAGGACTAAAAACAGGACTAAACTAGAACTAAAAAACCAGGACTAAACCAGAACTAAACCAGAACTAAACCAGAACTAAACCAGACTAAACCAGGACTAAAACCAGAAACTAAACCAGAACTAAACCAGAACTAAAACCAGGACTAAAACCAGAACTAAACCAGAGACTAAACCAGAACTAAACCAGAACTAAACCAGAACTAAACCAGGACTAAAAACCAGAACTAAACCAGGACTAAACCAGACTAAACCAGGACTAAAACCAGGACTAAACCAGAACTAAACCAGGACTAAAACCAGAACTAAACCAGAACTAATCTAGAACTAAACTTGAACTAAAACCAGGACTAAAACCAGGACTAAAACCAGGACTAAACCAGGACTAAAACCAGGACTAAACCAGGACTAAACAATATGACACTAACAGTAGGTGGACATAATTTCACGCAGCCGTGATCTCATGTAGAAAACATTTCTGTATCAATAATATTTTTAATCTGGTTAAGGAAAGTTTGGTCTTTTTATTTTCTTTTAGCAGATAAAACAAAACGTCTCATGTGAAGATCCTTTGTTTCTCTACAGTAAAACAAAAGTCTGTTCATGGAGACTTGGGCTCAACAGACAATTTGAAGAGAACAAAAATGAATTATCAGGATGTGGTTGTTACATTCATGTTGTTTTAAAAAAGCACGACAATATCAAGTAATCCAAAGTATTCAGATTACATTACTCACTTTAAGTAATTTAATGGATTCTGTTACAAACTACATTCTGGGGTGTGTAATCTGTAATCTGTAGGGGATTACATTTAAAAGTCACCTTCCCAACACTGACTATAACGTGACTTAAACCCCACACGAGTCAGTTTTATGTCATATTTTTCTATATTATTGTAGTTTTATGATCCTCTTTATGTAACCAGGAAAATACCATAAAGATCCTGAAAACTTTGGTGCACAGAGATGATCACTGTGCCTTTGAACACTTCTTTCTTAATAAAATACAAAACAACAATTGGATTACAGTTACTTTGTTGAAATAAATGGATTACACAGAGGGATTTTCCTGTTTTCACATTTTGGGCTAAATCCCTTTTTTAATTTTTTTTTTTTTTTTTTTTTTGTAATTCCACTTATTGCCGGACACTAAACCAGGACTGAATACAGGTCTAAACTAGATCTAAACCAGGTCTAAATCAGGGCTAAAACCAGGTCTAAACCAGGACTAAAACCAGGTCTAAACTAGATCTAAACCAGGTCTAAATCAGGACTAAAACCAGGTCTAAACAAGATCTAAACAAGGTCTAAACCAGGACTAAAACCAGGTCTAAACAAGATCTAAACCAGGTGTAAACCAGGACTAAACCAGGACTCAAACCAGGTCTAAACCAGGACTAAACCAGGACTCAAACCAGGTCTAAACCACATCTAAACCAGGGCTAAAACCAGGTCTAAATCAGGACTAAACCAGGACTCAAACCAGGTCTAAACCAGGACTAAACCAGGACTCAAACCAGGTCTAAACCAGGACTAAACCAGGACTCAAACCAGGTCTAAATCAGGACTAAACCAGGACTAAAACCATGTCTAAACCAGGACTAAACCAAGACTAAAACCAGGACTAAACCAGGTCTAAACCAGGTCTAAACTAGATCTAAAACAGGACTAAACCAGGTTTTAACAGGACTAAACCATGCAGCGTGGACCTCTTCCTTCTTCTTCTATCAATAATATTTTTAATTTGGTTCAGTAAAGTCTGGGCTTTTTATTTTCTTTTATCAGACAAAACATCTTATGTTGAAAGATTTCCTCGTCTTTGCTTCTCTACAGTAAATCAAGTAATCCAAAGTATTCAGATTACATTACTCACTTTAAGTAATTTAATGGATTACGTTACAAACTACATTTTGGGGTGTGTAATCTGTAATCTGTAGGGGATTACATTTTAAAAGTCACCTTCCCAACACTGACTATATTTGATTTGAACAGTTTACGTCGTATTTCGGGGCTTCAGACTAAATCTCTCTTCTCTTGTGGGTTGAATTCAGGACAGTGATTGTTCTTCTTTTGGGGTTTTCAGATGAACTGCTGGTCAGAGGTTTTCTGTGGCAGAGGCCAATTATTTCTGCTCCTGCTGTTTCCTCTGTATTTCCTCTTTATCTCCTCTTTCTTTCCTCTTTATTTCAGCGTCTTATCTTTGCTGCTGTGTGTTTATGACTCTGTAAAACTTTTGGGGGCTACAGTGTCGGAGGGGCAGGTTTTTTTCCAGATAAGACGCCGCACTGCTTCTCGCCTGGAAAGAAAGTTTGTTTATTTATTGTGAACCACTTTTTTGCAATAATAAAAGTGAATATTGGTTGACAATCTTTTCCACAGTTTCAGTCGTTTAAATACGCTGCGTAAGGGAGCTGACTGATTCTATTTTCGGTTTTATTTTTTGTTTTTTTTATTGGGTTTGTTTGTTGTCCTGATTTTTACTTTCTGGTTCATTTCAGAACATGTTTGTAGAAGTCTAAACTACAAGGTTTGCAAGTTTAGAGCGAGATAAAGCAGAGAGGGAGGGACATTTTATTGATCCTGAGAGAAATTTAAGTTTTGAAGTTTAAATTTAAGTGTCCATATGACCAAACATATGACTTGACCTATAGAGGCTTTGCACCGTCATGTGACCCTAGAGCAACAGTACCGACGCCGCCATGACACCAGGCAACACTATGTCATTGACTTCAGCAGCATCGGAGAAACATGGGCAGGTTTTGTTGTGTATTTGGTTGTTCTAGACCACAGGTGTCAAACATAAGGCCCGGGGGCCAGATCCGGCCCTCCAAGACCTTTAATCTGGCCCTCGGTTGATTTTCTTCTAAAATATTTTAATTATATTTTCTATTAAAATATTGGTAATTTTCTGCGTTGCTTGGCGTAGCAGCGTCTCCAGTGTCTCTGTACGTGGCCCCTCCCACCAGAGCAGCACAAATGAAGACTTGTCTCTTTCCAAACGCTCTTAAAGGACGATCGTTTTGACTGTTGACCGTGACACCCTCATCAGAAAAATGTCCAACATGAGAAAAGTGGAGCCGAGTGCAGGATTTTACAACAAAAATTGACTTATTCCTGTTTGCAAACAAGTTCATGTTAAAACATTGTGTTGAAATTGCATTTTTCTTAAAGTTTCAGGTTGTTCATAATATTATAATATTTTGTAAAAGAAAGAGTTCATCAATTTAGAAAGATTTCTGTAATAGATTTGTGTTTCTCTGCACAAATATTTGAACTTATTGCTATTTTTGGAGTATATATGACATGAGTTTTCTGATCCGGCCCCTTTGGGATCAAAGTCGGTTGGATACGGCCCCCGGACCAAAATGAGTTTGACACCCCTGTTCTAGACGCTCTGAAAGAGATAAGATGAATCGTTTCTTCACTGTTCCTCTGGAAATGACTCATCAGGATCAAACAAGGGAATTATCGGAAAAAAAACGGGAATTATGTCTAGAGAACATAAACCGTGAAGAGACACACTCACGTCACTTTCATCAAGGTATTTGCTATTTAAATTGTTTCATAGTTTATTTAATGAGAGAAGCACATTTACTGAACTAAAATGTAAAAAGAAAACATTTGCAGTGTGAGTGGCAGTAGAAACTGGATCTTCCAGCACATATAAACATGTCACTCGTCGTAGGACCATGTTTTCTTTCATTGTCTTGTTTATCCACAACTTTGTCTTCTAGAATTAATCACTTTTTGTGAGCGGATCTTTGTAACGTTCGCGAGGATCTTTTCATGGTCGATTCTTTCGAGGTTCGGCTCACAGACTCTTCGACTCGTGCGTCGTGTTGATCACAGGAGCCCAGTGTGGGTTCATAAACTAGTGCAGGTTTTCCTGGATAAATTATTGAAATTTTAGTTCAGTAAATGTGCTTCTTTCATTAAATAAACTATGAAACAATTTAAATAGCAAATACCTTGATGAAACTTCGGGTGTCTTGATGGTACAATAGGAAATCTCTTCACAGTTTATTTTTGCTGCTATAATTTTGTATTATAATTTCTTTTTTTCCCGATAATTCCCTTGTTTGATCCTGATGAGTCATTTCCAGAGGAACAGTGAAGAAATGATTCGTTTTATCTGTTTCAGAGCGTCTAGAACAACCAAATACACAACAAAACCTGCCCATGTTTCTCTGATGCTGCTGAAGTCAATGACATAGTGTTGCCCGGTGTCATGGCGGCGTAGGTACCGTTGCTATAGGGTCACATGACGGTGCAAAGCTTCTATAGTAGAGTTTTAGAGTCGTTCCCATTATCCTGTATAATATATTAACCTATATTCATTTTTCAGCTTGTATTGCCTAAAAACTGCAGCTTTTACATTTGGCTCTTAGTGTCAGATGTGTTAAAACACTTTGACAGAGTTGCAGACTGCAGCAGATGCACACAAGTGAAACTTAAAGTCTAATAATACTCTTCCTGTGTTGTCTTTGTCTCAGGTGACCAGAATTGTGCTGCTTTGGGTCAACAACCACTTCAACGACTTCGAGGGCGACCTGGCCATGACTCGCTTCCTGGAGGAGTTTGAAAAACATCTTGAAACGGCGGTAAGCGAGAGATTTGTTTAAACTGTGCGCATGTCAGCTGGTTCTGTCCCTCACAACAACACGACGACGTTTACACTGAAACCACTGATATCACCGTATCAGAAACTGCGTTCAGACACGTCGTTTCCGTGTCTGCAAGTCTCCAGCTTTGAGCATTTTTGTTTACGTTTTACAGAAGCGAAACTTAAAACCACACGGCTCATTTACATAAACTAAATGCTCAAATAAACAGTTCACTATTGTGCACTGATGCGGTTCAGCTTCTGTCGGACTCAGTGGAATATGAGTGTTGTTTCTGTGACAGAGGTTTGTTCTGCTGATGGTGAGTCTGTTCTGTGTTTCTGTCGCGTTGGAGATGGTTCACGTGAAACTTTTCAGAGATTATACGTCTGCAGGTCGTACACAGACACACGTTTATATGAATGGACAGATATTCTAGCCTCTTAGCATTTTGGCGGTGAATTACTTTGTGGCACATAAATCTACATCAGGGTCCAGTCAAGTGTTAACGGAGGGAAACGGGCAGATTTTTGACATTCAAATGTCTCTTATTCAGAAACTAGAGGAACTATTGAAATAAGTAAAGTATCAGAATGTAGGAAAGAGTTACACTCCAACAGGGTCAAGTTAAACCTGTGATATTCTTTCAAGTTGTTGACAAAAAATTTAAAAACTCATGTCGGTAACGGAGGGAATGAAATATGCAGCACTTTTTGGGACAATAAATCCAAACAGTGATAACTCTTGGTTCTCACTTACATATCCTTAACAAACTGGTTTGAATATTTGCTTCATATAGTTTTCTACCATATGGTACAAGATTAGGTTGAAAAACCTCTGACTTTTTGACTCATGAGATTTTTTATTAAGAAAGGTCATGGTAACGGAGGGAAAAGTAACGGAGGGAAAATTGTGCAAACAAGTAGAAGGTGCAGGATTTTACATCATTTGTCTCTTTTTTCTTCTGAATACTTTAATATTACTTCAAAATGAAAGGAAACTATTTCTATAAAATATGTCAGTCCTTCCAAGCAAATTTTTATCATTTTAAATATTTTTTTATTGAAAAATCCTGTACCTTCATCAACAGTTCAAAGATGGAATAACACAAGATATGATGAAATACATCCATTTATTTACATGATTTTTGGGTCTTTGAAATTTGGGAAATAATTTTTGTTCCATGTTTCATACATGGTCTGTTTAAAACATATGGGACTTTAGAACCAAAAATGGTACAGAAAAAAGGTCAACAGTTTCATAAACTAGAGTACATATGTATCTGTTCAATACATTTTTATATCAGATGAATTAAATTGTATTTTTGGCCTTGTTGTTTACTTCTTGACTGGGCCCATCAGAGTATCAGTGTTTTCAGGCGTCCACAGAGTGACTCATCACATCTATCCTCAAATGAATTGGTGGGAGCTGGAGGCACCAGATCGTTCCATCTCCGTATTAGTGTGAATCCGCAATGAAAACAACTCGAATATGTACTAGTGTGAACGGGGCCTAAGTTTTATTCCTACATGTTGTTCAAATGAAGTTTTGTGAAGTGCTGGGAAAGCCTCCAAATGTAATCTACTGTACAATAAAGGGTGTGCAAAGGAATGCACCTTATGCGGAGGCACACAGGTACATAAGAGCACATGAGGGCGTCTGACATTCCCCCTGTGTCTTTTTCAGAAAATGAAGGGTCACCTGCGCCTGCTGAACATCGCGTGTGCGGCCAAGGCCAAGTGCAGACAGATCACGCTGCAGAAGGCCGCGCGGGAGTCCTCTCTAAACTTCAGCGTTCAGGGCGGCTGTGAGCGCGGCTTCGGAATCTTTGTGGAGACTGTGGATCCCGGGAGCAAAGCGGCCGAGGAGGGGCTCAAGAGGGGGGACCAGGTGAGCCATACTTTTCCCTAGTACAGCTACAAGAGCACAGTGGAATCAAAAATCACAATCTGAATGGGCGCTTTTAGCAAATTACACTCCACAAACAATAAAATCATTAGTTGGTTAGTTCATTTAATATTTTTTTGTCTTTTTTTTTATTACACAAAAGCTTTAAACCATGTTTTTACCTTCTCAAAAACATATCTGAAGTTGTGCAAAACTTTAGGGGCCAAGAGTGCTACTTGAATGTACAGAGATTGTGCAAAATTGTCAATTGTCTTTAATGTTGGGACCAGTCACGTTCAGACTGCAGCCTGAAGTGACCCAAATCTGATTTTTTGGCCTCTATGTGACCTGTATCTGATCTTTTAATGACAGTTTGAACGACACAGATCCGATTTTTTCAAATGTGACCCAGGACACTTGGATATGTGCTCCTGAAACTGATACATATCTGATCTTTTGACATGTGACTTCAGTGTGAACGGCCAAAGTGCATTCATCCACCTACACGTTATCAACAAGACACAAATGTACACAAATCTTCTCATCATATGAAAATTGTTAATAAATTCCGTGTCACTGAAGTGAAGCACATCACCACTCACCACTCTTGGCTCCGTCTCCACATCCACACGTTCCTTTCAACGGACGTCGCTGCCGCTGTCCCACAAAACACCACGACCAAAAACCTCGTCCTTCTCCTTCTCAATCTCCTCCTTAAAACAAGTAAGTTGTTCATGTTCTGGCTCCGGTACGAGAGGAACTTTAAAATCTCCAGGTGCTCGATGCTGCGTCCATGTTTGGACAACTTCTGTAAACACAGAGACGCTCGCTGCGGTTGACGTCGTCGTGTCTCCAGTGTCACATGTGGGACACTTTCGGGACGTTTAATGTTCACACTGGAGTCACATACAAGTCGCATTTAATTGGAAATGTGAACGACCTCGAAAAAACATCGGATTTCACAAAAAAAATCCAAATTGAGCGTTAAGCCCTGCAGTCTGAACGTAGCCTTAAATACAAAGTTGAAAAAACTGAGGGGCTCAAAAATGACAAAATAATGAAAAGTTTAAAATCACACCAACGCGTTTCGACCCTTCGGCTTCATCAGGGCAAACTCCAGATCACTGTGCAGATTTAAAGTCATAAGTCCAGGTCACATGTTCACAGTGGGACATGTCGGCTGAACAGATTTTAGTTACACGCTGTTTAAGATAAGTTGTAATACAAGATACAAGATATAAATATTACAATTCCCGACAACCAATACATGGACAAATACATAGTTTAAAAATATATAAAGCAAAAAATACAAAAGTGCTACAGATACAACACGGGAGGGCTAGTCTTAAACAGTTTTAGATATTTATTTTGTACTTTTTATTGCCTCAGTTTTTTTCAACTTTATAGCTTCATTTATAATTATTAGTCTGTTTACATCTCTGAAACTCAGAATGAAACAAAACACAACTCAAGCTATGTTTTTAATGAGGAAACGCCATTATAACATAGATCAGAAAATAGGGTAATATGGGCCTTTTAAAAGCAACAACTAGCATGTTAACTGCAAACTTCCTTATGATCATACAATACAATGCTTTATAACAGGGGTGTCAAACTCATTTTGGTCCGGGGGTCGTATCCAACCGATTTTGATCCCAAAGTGTCCGGATCAGAAAACTCATGTCATATAAACCCCAAAAATAACAATAAGTTCAAATATTTGTGTAGAGAAACACAAATCTATTACAAAAATCTTTTTTTAATTGATGAACTCTTTCTTTTACAAAATATTATAATATTACGAACAACCTGAAACTTTAAGAAAAATACAATTTCCACACAATGTTTTAACATGAACTTGGATGTAAATAGGAATAAGTCAATTTTTGTTGTAAAATCCTGCACTCGGCTCCACTTTTCTCATGTTGGACATTTTTCTGATGAGGGTGTCACGGTCAACAGTCAAAACGATCGTCCTTTAAGAGCGTTTGGAAAGAGACAAGTCTTCATTTGTGCTGCTCTGGTGGGAGGGGCCACGTACAGAGACGCTGGAGACGCTGCTGTGATAAACACCACAGAAAATTAACAAGATTTTAATAAAAATCAAATTTAAATATTGTAGTAGAAAATCAGCCACGGGCCAGATTAAAGGTCTTGGAGGGCCGGATCTGGCCCCCGGGCCGCATGTTTGACACCTGTGCTTTATAATGAGATGCAGACAGTCCACAATGAAATCATTTTGACCTCAAGAGTTGCTTATAAAATATATCTGCATCGGAGCGAGTCAAATCCAAAAAATCCAAAAGGTGAAAAGGTCTGATGATGTTTTGATTGTTTTTCCCAAATTCTGTCATTTAAATTTGCTACAAACTCACCCACAGCCCATTTAACCATAAAAGGTATAAGAGAGCTGTTTATGTCATGTTTTGTGCAGCCGTCTCCTCGCATTAAAGTGTTCAAATAAAACTTTGTGTGCATTTTTAGGCGGCAGGTCAGTCAAACCAAAATATAACCGATTCCCTAAAAAGTCCAAATATTGATGTATGAGTCTTTCTCTACTCTACACTCATTTTTAAGATTTGTCACTTCAAACAAAAGTCTGAGTCAGTGCAGTTGGAAAGTAATATTTGTTTCTGTAAATCTAGCCTCGAAGGAAGTGGCTAAACACTGTGAGTTTTTTTATTTTATTTTTTTTTAAACAGAAGGTTATTTCTGACACAAACTCACTCTTTGTCTCAGTCACATGAAACACTGCACACAGGTGAAGTGAGAGGCCTCGGCCGACCACACTTCTGCTGTGTCCATGTGAAAGGACACACACACAGTGACGGGAAGGTGACTTTTAAAATGTAATCCCCTACAGATTACAGATTACACACCCCAAAATGTAGTTTGTAACGTAATCCATTAAATTACTTAAAGTGAGTAATGTAATCTGAATACTTTGGATTACTTGATTTGCTGTAGAGAAGCAAAGACGAGGAAATCTTCACATAAGATGTTTTGTCTGATAAAAGAAAATAAAAAAACAGACTTTACTGAACCAAATTAAAAGTATTATTGATAGAAGACGAGGAAACACGGTCCATGCAGCATGATTTAGTCCTGTTAAATCCTGTTTTAGACCTGGTTTTAGTCCTGGTTTAGTTCTGGTTTAGTCGTGGTTATAGTCCTGGATTAGTCCTAGTTTAGTCCCAGTTTAGACCTGGTTTAGACCTGGTTTAGACCTGGTTTGTACCTGGTTCAGTGTCCGGCAATAAGTGGAATACCGTGGAAAAAAAAAAAAAAAAGGATATAACCCAAAATGTGAAAACTGGAAAATACCGTCATGTAATCCATTTATTTCAACAAAGTAACTGTAATCTAATTACCACTCACTGAAACAGTAACTGTAACCGAATACAGTTACTCATAATTTGTACTCTGATTATGTAACTCCAGTACTTGTAATCTGTTACTCCCCAACACTGCACACAGAGAACTCATTCAGATTATATATACTCTGTTCTGTGTATGTATTTTTTATAATATTTACAGAGCATTATTCAGCATTATTCAGCATTATTCAGCATTATTCAGCATTATTCAGCATTATTCATTCACTCTGTCTGGTGATGGTGAGATACTATTGTGGCCACAGCTGCCCTGGGACAGACTGACAGAAGCGCGGCTGCCATGCTGCTCGGTCCTTCCGACCACCACCATCACTCACGCTCCACTTTCATACTGGGCAGTGTGGGTGAAGTGTCTTGTCTAAGGACACAACAACAGTTATTCTCACTGGCGCCCCCCTGTGGCTCGTGATTTTCCCAGTGTCTCCCATCCAAGTAATAACCAGGCCCGGACTTGCTTATGTCATATATTTGGGAGCTTTACTCATTCACTCTGTACTCAGTGGTGGTAAACTATTATTGTAGCCACAGCTGCCCTGGGACAGACTGATGGGAATTGACTGCCAATCTGCAACTCACCACATTCATTGGGTGAAGTGGGTGAACACACCAGGTGCAGTGGTCAGAAGAAGATTTAACCCGCTGACTTCTGGTTGATAAATCTTGAACCTCTGCCGACGTTTCCTTGTGTTTGTGTGTGTCCTGTTTTTTCCCCAACATCTGAACGGTTTCCCGGCTTGTGCGTTCGGGGGGGGCACACTCGACGCCGACGCCGCACTCTTACCTGCTGCAGCCTCCGCGCTGTTCTTGGGTTCGGGGGCCAAACCGAGGCACTTCCTGGTTGTGCACATATAGGCATAGTGGCGCGCTCAAGGGGGACATGTGATCGTGGACTCGACCACTGTGGGCTATTTGGGGTCATTTGTGGTTTTTGAAGTTGTTTAATGGAACTTATGTTAACCTTATGAGGGGTTCTTTAAGTTATTTTTATTACCTCAGCCAAGGAGGTTATGTTTTTGCCGGCGTTTGTCTGTTTGTTTGTTTGTTTGTTTGTTTGTCTGTTAGCAACATAACTCAAAAAGTTATGGACCGATTTTGATGAAATTTTCAGGATTTGTTGGAAATGTGAAAAGGAAGAACTGATTTCATTTTGGGGCTGATCCGGAAGAAATCCTGGATTCTGGATCACTTTGAAATTTTAGTTAACATTGTGGTAAATGGAGGCCAAAAATTTTGTTTCTCAATATCTCGGTTAATTATTGACCAAACCCCATGAAATTTGACTCAGGGATGGACAATGGGATCCTCTTTCATATTCCAAAGGCTGATCCGGATCTGATCCAGAAGACTGATTTTATCGCAATTTATATAAAAAATGGGGGTAGTCCTTGGCGGAGGTCTGCGCTCTCTGAGTGCTTTTCTAGTTTTTATTATGTTTATTTCCACGTTGATTTGTGTTCCTCAATACAGTTTTGCTTATGTTAATTCCTTAAAACCCCATTTTCGTTAATTGGTTTGCCCGGGGGGAGGGGCTAAGGGGGTATAAAAGGAGGGAGCTCCAGTCATTTGGGAGTTTGTATTTGGCCTGACTACGTGGGTGCTGCAACTGTAACTGTGATTATTGTACATATTCTTGTAAATACTTCTAGGGGTGTCAAATTATCGCGTTAATTGTGATTAATTAATTACAGTCATATTTAGCGCGTTATGTTTTTTAATCGCGTTAATCTCATTTTTAATCTCTAACTTTACTGTTTCTGTACGCGAGTTGCCTTTATTATAAAATCTGTTTTTATGTGTTGTTGGGACAATAACACATCGCTCCCGCAAACAATTGTGATTTTCTTTCTCGTTCTCGCCGCATCTGCGATAAACCTGCACACGTCTGATCTCTGAAAACATCACAAACACAGAACTGACTCACCTTCACCTTCAACACTCATATTCCACTGAGTCGTGTCCTTCAGTCCCACAGAAGCTGAACCGCATCAGCGACACAAGAGCATTTTTATTTTTTATTTTTCTCGCTTCGTTTATGCAAATTAGCCATGCGGTTTTTAAGTTTCGCTTCTGTGAGACTTGCGCAAATCAGCATTAAACACATTACAATGTCAAACGAGCTGATGTGGCTCTAGAGCACAGGTGTCAAACATGCGGCCCGGGGGCCAGATCCGGCCCTCCAAGACCTTTAATCTGGCCCGTGGCTGATTTTCTACTAATATATTTTAATTTGATTTTTATTAAAATCTTGTTAATTTTCTGTGGTGTTTATCACAGCAGCGTCTCCAGCGTCTCTGTACGTGGCCCCTCCCACCAGAGCAGCACAAATGAAGACTTGTCTCTTTCCAAACGCTCTTAAAGGACGATCGTTTTGACTGTTGACCGTGACACCCTCATCAGAAAAATGTCCAACATGAGAAAAGTGGAGCCGAGTGCAGGATTTTACAAGAAAAATTTACTTATTCCTATTTACATCCAAGTTCATGTTAAAACATTGTGTTGAAATTGTATTTTTCTTAAAGTTTCAGGTTGTTCATAATATTATAATATTTTGTAAAAGAAAGAGTTCATCAATTAAAAAAAGATTTCTGTAATAGATTTGTGTTTCTCTGCACAAATATTTGAACTTATTGTTATTTTTGGGGTTTATATGACATGAGTTTTCTGATCCGGACACTTTGGGATCAAAATCGGTTGGATACGACCCCCGGACCAAAATGAGTTTGACACCCCTGCATTAGAGCGTTCATGGTTTATATGTAATAATAATAATGTAATAATGATTTAAATGAAAAATACCTCAAGTTGAAGGCTTTTCTCAGCAATTTTTAGGTGAGATTGAAAAGAGATTAATTAGATGAATTAATTACAGATCATAATTAATTAATCTCTCAATTTTTTTAATCGCCTGACAGCACTAAATACTTCTGTCTACCACCTGATTTTTTTTTTTGTCACTGTAAATATTCCACTCTGCACTTGGAGCTGTGGTGTGAATAAAAACCCACTTAAAGGTTGTATGGAGGATTTTTTAAGCGAAGTGAAATACAGCGACAGTCCTTTTTCAAATATTGTGCATGCGTAACACCACCATCCTCCTCCACAGCTCCCTCAGTAGAAATATCTCCTCCCGCCTCCTCACTCTAGAAATCACGCTTGTTTACATCCAGTGCACGTTCAGAATTACTGTTGAAATGACCCGTCTAGAAATATTTTAGCGAACGACGCGTCAGTTTTTAGACTCTTCGTCTGCTTCAGTCGCGCAGTCGCTGGAAGGAATCTCCAAGAATCACCTCAGTTTGTCTTTGCTCCTTTTTGCCTTCACTTCTTCTTTCAGTGACCTCAAAAACTGACTTTCTTTTGCGGCGAACCGGTCGTGGATTCTCATCTGCAATCGCAACAAAGCTTTGTGCGAATTGCGAGGAAGCGACAGTTTGAAAAAGCCTCTAAGAACCGCTGCATAAACCACGTAATCCCCGCACACCTGCTGGTCAATTACATTAGAAACGTAGGGACAACCTAACAGCCAATAGATAAAGAGGGAGCCTCGTTGTCTATTGGCTGGTGTTTATCTGGCCTCACTACATCCACAGTTGATAGATTTTCATTCTTTTTTTTTTTGGTCATCATATTTACAAGGCTGCTGCGTCTCTGTAATGGTATTTTAAACTTTTACTGACAATTTGAAACAAAAAAAAAATCCTCCATACAACCTTTAAGTGAAGTTTTTCGACTGAGCCATCATTTTTTACATTTATTTCGGACGAACCCGTGACATCGTGTGCAGTTTTTAAGGAAATGCTCATGTGACAGTGTAAAAAGTGGTTTGAAATGGCTCATACTATCGAACATTCGTAACATGTGATGGTTTTGTTTCAGATCCTGGAGGTCAATGGGCAGAACTTTGAAAACATCTCCCTGTCCAAAGCCGTGGACATCCTGAGGAACAACACTCACCTGTCACTGACCGTCAAGACCAACATCTTTGGTGAGTTTTAACTCGGAAGCAGAGCTGCAGTTCATCATAGGTTTGTCATGTTTGAATGTACATAGTTGACAAAGGTGCTTTATTTCAGCTGATTTTAACTGGAATCGTTTTAATGGTTGTATTATGGATTGATGAATTGTAATTTATTTGAGTTTTTAATGTATTTATGGACTTTATTTTTATATACCAGGTTGGACAGGTACCAGGACTACCAGGACCAGGCCAGGACACCAGGACTCATACCAGGACCCAAGGAAACCAGGACTTACAGGACTACCAGGACTACCAGGACTACCAGGAGGAACTATAAAATGACTACACCAGGACTATACCAGGACTACACCAGGACTATACCAGGAGGACTACACCAGGACTACCAGGACTACACCAGGACTACAGGACTACCAGGACTAACCAGGGGACTAAAGGACACCAGGAAACCAGGACTAACCAGGACTACCAGGACTACACCAGGACTACACCAGGACTACCAGGACTACCAGGACTACACCAGGACTACAAGGACTACACCAGGACTACACCAGGACCAGGACTACACCAGGACTACACCAGGACTACACCAGGACTACCAGGACACCAGGACTACACCAGGACTACCAGGACTACACCAGGACCAGGACTACACCAGGACTACACCAGGACTAGGACTATACCAGGACTACACCAGGACTACACCAGGACTACACCAGGACTACACCAGGACTACACCAGGACTACACCAGGACTATACCAGGACTACACCAGGACTACTACCAGGACTACACCAGGACTACACCAGGACTACACCAGGACTACACCAGGACTACACCAGGACTACACCAGGACTACACCAGGACTACACCAGGACTACACCAGGACTACACCAGGACTATACCAGGACTACACCAGGACTACACCAGGACTACACCAGGACTACACCAGGACTTTACCAGGACTACACCAGGACTACACCAGGACTACACCAGGACTACCAGGACTACACCAGGACTACCAGGACACCAGGACTACCAGGACACCAGGACTACTACCAGGACTCCAGGACTACCAGGACTACACCAGGACTACACCAGGACTCCAGGACTACACCAGGACTACACCAGGACTACACCAGGACTATACCACCAGGACCAGGACTACCAGGACACCAGGACTACTAACCAGGACTACCAGGACAACCAGGACTACACCAGGACTACACCAGGACTAAACAGGACACCAGGACTAACACCAGGACTAAACCAGGACTAAACCAGGACTACACCAGGACTATACCAGGACTAAACCAGGACTAAACCAGGACTAAACCAGGACTAAACCAGGACTACACCAGGACTTCAGATGGTCTAAAGCAAGTCTAACTCTGGATTAAACCAGGCCTAAACAGTACTAAACCAGGACAACTCCTGAACTAAACAGGGTCTGAAGTGGGACAAAACCGGGGCTAAACTAGGTCTAATCAAGAACTAAACCAAAACCAAACCAGATCTAAACCAGACCTTAGTTAGTACTCAGTTAGAATTACATTAGGATTGCATTAAAAATGGGAACATTTTGACATATTTTGGTAAAAAAACCAACACATCCCTGCAGTTTTTCGCAATGTAAATAGTAGGGATGGGCATTCGATGAAATTTTCTTAATCGATCGTCGGAAGAATTAAGGATCAATTATCGATTAATCATTAACGTTTTTATATTAAAATGATCAGCATTATTATTACTATCTGCACTAATCTGCATAAATAAATTCAACTTTACGACATATAAACCGTAACGACTCTAGAGCCACATCAGCCCGTTTGACATTATAATGTGTTTAATTCAGTTTTGTTCAACTCTCACAGAAACAAAACTTAAAACCACATCACTAATTTGCATAAACTAAGTGAAGATAAAACTCCAGCTCTTGTGTCGCTGATGTGGTTCAACTTCTGTCAGATTAAAAGACATGACTCAGGTGAATACAGGTTAGTGTGACCAGATTTGTGTTTGTTAAAACCAGGACAGCGTACGGGGGGAGGGGGGCGGGGCCTCGTCATCCACATTGAGCGACTCTCACCTGGAAAAACTTTTTCCCACTGGACACAGAAACATATGTGCTGCTTTATACACTGTGCACATGGACTCACACTTGTCCCAACGCAACGGAAAGTGTGGAATTTCTTGTACAAATCATCGTTAAATCCACATTTGTGCTTCGGTTCGTTACAGACTGACCCACTGTTTGTGTCTCGCTCCTTCTGATGCAGAGACACATGTACACACCTGTTTGGTCACGACACACACAGCAACATACATTCGGTTTGTCGATTAAAATTAACGTAATCGATGAAATTCTTAACTAGAAAAGCAGTCAGAGAGCGCAGACCTCCGCCAAGGACTACAGTCCCCCTCATATTAATTGTGTTTTCCATAAATATTTGTCTCGTATCTTTCAATTTGGAATATGAAAGAGGATCCCATTGTCCATCCCTGAGTCAAATTTCATGGGGTTTGGTCAATAATTAACTGAGATATTGAGAAACAAAATGTTTGGAACCATTTACCACAATGTTAACTAAAATTTCAAAGTGATCCAGAATCCAGGATTTCTTCCAGATCACCCCCAAAATGAAATCAGTTCTTCCTTTTCACATTTCCAACAAATCCTGAAAATTTCATCAAAATCGGTCCAAAACTTTTTGAGTTATGTTGCTAACAGACAAACAAACAAACAAACAGACAAACAGACAAATGCCGGCAAAAACATAACCTACTTGGCGGAGGTAATGATCAATTATAGATTAATTGACTAATCATGTCCATCCCTAGTACATAGTAAGTGGAGGCACATACATGGTGGAGCTGGTCATGTTGTAGAGGCCTGGGCCATTAACAGAGATCATGAATCAGTCATGTCCAGTCGTCAGTGATATGGGATGTTTAATGCAGAGGCCCACAGTCGTCCGTCAGTAAAAGCATGTGTCCACAATGGGACTATGTTCTGTGTTAAATGACAATGATTTAAAGCGTGTGTCGTCTATGTTCATGAAATCAATACTAAAAGCCTTTTAATTTTGTTTTTGAAGATCCCCCAAAAAGTCATGATTCATGTTTCCCATATGGCCCTACCCCAGCTCAAAATATACTTATATATATTTACTGCACTGGCCAAGGACCACAAAAGACAAGATCTGAGAGTAACACCAGATCTAAACCAGGTCTATAACAGGACTATTCCAGGTCTAAACTAAGACTAAACCAGGTCTATAACAGGACTATTCCAGGTCTAATCCAGGTCTAAACCAGGTCTATAACAGGACTATTCCAATTCTAATCCAGATCTAAACCAGGTCTATAACAGGACTATTCCAGTTCTAATCTAGGTCTAAACCAGGTCTATAACAGGACTATTCCAGTTCTAATCCAGATCTAAACCAGGTCTATAACAGGATTATTCCAGGTCTAAACTAAGACTAAACCAGGTCTATAACAGGACTATTCCAGGTCTAATCTAAAACTAAACCAGGTCTATAACAGGACTATTCCAGTTCTAATCCAGATCTAAACCAGGTCTATAACAGGACTATTCCAGTTCTAATCTAGGTCTAAACCAGGTCTATAACAGGACTATTCCAGTTCTAATCCAGATCTAAACCAGGTCTATAACAGGACTATTCCAGGTCTAAACTAAGACTAAACCAGGTCTATAACAGGACTATTCCAGGTCTAAACTAAAACTAAACCAGGTCTATAACAGGACTATTCCAATTCTAATCCAGATCTAAACCAGGTCTATAACAGGACTATTCCAGGTCTAATCTAGGTCTAAACCAGGTCTATAACAGGACTATTCCAGTTCTAATCCAGGTCTAAACCAGGTCTATAACAGGACTATTCCAGTTCTAATCCAGATCTAAACCAGGTCTATAACAGGACTATTTCAGGTCTAAACTAAAACTAAACCAGGTCTATAACAGGACTATTTCAAGGTTCTAATCTAAGACTAAACCAGGTCTATAACAGGACTATTCCAATTCTAATCTAGGTCTAAACCAGGTCTATAGCAGAACTATCCCAGGTCTAATCTCGGTCTAAAAGTGGACTACATCATTTCCTCTGTAGTTCTAAACCAGAAATGATCAACAAGAGACAAAAAAGTGTTTGAAATGAACTTAAATGAGTCAAATCCACAAACTGAAGAGCTCCAGTTCCCCCTGAAGGATCTCACACGCCACAGTTTGTGACACACTGGTCTAGTGCAGGTACACTGTGCAAGTCTAGTATTCACAAAACATTTACCAGTAAAATTGAGTCTTACACCGAATGTCCCTGTGTGTAGTTTTCAAAGAGCTGCTGAGCCGGGTGGTGCACGAGAAGAAGAACGGCGTCCCTCACATCCCGAAGATCCAGGAGAAGAAGGGCAATCGCTTCTCCATCCCAGATCTGCCCGGAGACATGGAGTTCCCCACAGACCACAAAAGCACCAGGAAAATGAAGGCCAACACAGTGACCGGGGGAAGGAACCGCATCCGCAAAATGTTGGAGAAGACCAGATTTAGTATTTTACCTCCGAAACCATTCAGGTAAACTTTATAAGTACTAGTATCATGTCAGTTACTCGTTTTTCGTGCACAATGAATCTATTTACGTCAGGCTGTTCTTTTAAAAGGAACGTCACAATGTCCAAATCCCACTCGACTACAGTACGACGTGTATTGTGATGATCTGAGGAGGTCAAAGGAACTGTAAATACTACAGTTTTTTTGTGTGACATTTATCTGAAAGCCGTTATCAATCAAACTTTATTTGTATGGCACTTTTCATACATTTGAAATGTACCACAAAGTGCTTCACATGCAACAGAAAAAAATTACAATATTAAAAATAACAGCAAACCCCCCCCACCCCATTATTTCATGCATATATACAACAATAAAACATAAACATAAAGCTCCTAAAGGTTATAGTAAAAATATAAATGGAGCTAAAAACAGATGGAGACTAAATAAAATATTAATGGTAATTTAAAAGCAAATAATAATAATAATAATAATAATAATAATGATGATGATGATAATTTAAATTAATTAATTAATAATAATAATAATAATAATAATGATGATAATAATAATGATGATGATGATGATGATAATAATGATAATAATTAAAATAAATAATAATAATAATAATAATAATAATAATAATAATGATGATAATAATGATAATAATTAATAATTAATAATAATAATAATAATAATAATAATAATAATAATAATAATAATAATAATAATAATAATAATAATAATAATGATAATAATAATAATAATGATAATAATGATAATAATGATAAAACAAGTAAAAGTTTCAATTAAAAGCTAAATTAAAAAGATACGTTTTGAGTTTACTTTTAAAACTATGAACACTCGCAGTGGACCTCAGATCCTCAGGTCGACTGTTCCACAAACGGGGGCCGTAAAATCTAAAAGACGCCTCACCGTGAGTTTTAGTTTGGACTCTTGGGACAGTTAAAAGACGACGACCTGAGGACCTGAGAGTCCGAGAGGCTCATATGATAAAAGCAGATCAGATAAATAAATAGGATTAAGACCATTAAGAGCTTTATAAACCAATACAAGAACTTTAAAATCTCTCCTGAAGCTCACAGGAGCCAGTGCAGAGACTTCAGTACTGGGGTGATGTGCTCTCAATCTCTCATTAATGCAATCATCACTCATATCTTCAAGTTATTCTATGTATATATTTATAAGTTCTAAGTATTTAATTATATCATATCTAATACAGCAGCATTATCCATATTCAGGAAACATATTAAATCAGACTTAATATGTAAAATGTACTTTTCAGAGCTTTTAACCAGGTTAGAGTTGTTTTCCCTTCTCATTTATTCTCTTGAAGTTGTATTTGGAGAGATTCATACACATCTGAGTAATCTTTAATCACTTATTTTCCAGTGTTGGGGAGTAACAGATTACATGTACTGGAGTTACGTAATCAGAGTACAAATTATGAGTAACTGTATTCAGTTACAGTTACTGTTTCAGTGAGTGGTAATTGGATTACAGTTACTTTGTTGAAATAAATGGATTACACAGAGATATTTTCCTGTTTTCACATTTTGGGCTATATCCCCCTTTTTTTCTTTTTTTTCTCCAGGTAATTCCACTCATTCCCAGAAAGTAAACCAGGTCTAAACTAGATCTAAACCAAGACTAAACCAGGACTAAAACCAGGTCTAAAACCAGGTCTAAACCAGGTCTAAACCAGGACTAAACCAGGACTAAACCAGGACTAAACCAGGACTAAAACAGGACTAAAACAGGACTAAAAGCAGGGCTAAACTAGATCTAAACTAGATCTAAACCAGGTCTAAAACCAGGTCTAAACCAGGTCTAAACCAGGTCAAAAACCAGGACTAAAACAGGACTAAAAGCAGGGCTAAACTAGATCTAAACTAGGTCTAAACCAGGTCTAAACCAGGTCTAAACCAGGTCTAAAACCAGGACTAAAACAGGACTAAAACAGGACTAAAAGCAGGGCTAAACTAGATCTAAACTAGATCTAAACCAGGTCTAAAACCAGGTCTAAACCAGGTCTAAAACCAGGACTAAAACCAGGACTAAAACAGAACTAAAACAGGACTAAAACAGGACTAAATCCTGCTGTGTGGACGTGTCTCCTCGTCTTCTATCAATAATATTTTTAATTTGGTTCAGTAAAGTCTGGGCTTTTAATTTTTTTAAACAAACAAAACAACTTAAGTTACGATTTCCTCGTCTTTTCTTCTCTACAGCAAATCAAGTAATCCAAAGTATTCAGATTACGTTACTCACTTTAAGTAATTTAATGGATTCTGTTACAAACTACATTCTGGGGTGTGTAATCTGTAATCTGTAGGGGATTACATTTTAAAAGTCACCTTCCCAACACTGTGTACAAATGATAAAAATCTGCTGTTTGATAGTGTGATGTTCAGGGGCCGACAACTGCACGGCTCTTTTTGTTGTGATGACGTTTACGGTTTTGTCGGCTCCCATTAGGCGCCGCATTTTTCTCACGCAGAAGTCAGTGGTTTCTTTAATTCAGTCGTTTTAGATCAATATTGTGGTTTAAAATGTCCATCATGAACCGCAGATGTCAGAGATTATAACTGTAGGCTTCAGCAAACACGATATGTTTTCTTTAGTATCACCATCCAAGAAAAGATCAATTAAAATGACTCAAGTAAATAGCTGCAGTTGCCTCTCCTCTTCAGAGATCACGAACACACTTGGATGTTTTTTTTGTGCATTTATTTTGGGCAAGTAAAGATTTACATTCATATACAATGGAGCATATAACAATATAACATGTGAAATCATAATAGAAATGAAAATAACAACAACAAAAAATATTATTATTATTATTATTTTGTCCAAAAAGGAGTGGGAAGAAGAAAATGTATTTAATCTCACCCCTACTCTTCATAATCTAACACAATGAGCTTTATTTCGCGTTTTTCACACATTTTGAAATAAACTCGGAAACAAATACAAATGCGACAACACAACAAAAAGCCACAACAAATGAAAAAAAGCCACAACAAACCAAAAAAAGCCACAACGGAAATGACCGCGGGACTCTATTTTAATGCAAACGCCGCAACAAATACAAACGCCACAACACAAACGCAAATGCCGCAACACATTAAAAAGCCACAACACATCAAAAAGCCACAACAGAAGTGACCGCGGGACTCTATTTTCCGACGGACCGATCAAGCGGCAAGTGAAGAAGAAGAACTACAACGTGAAACGAATAATGATAAAACAATAAATTACTTTTACTTACGTTTCCAACTTCTCCGTTCCTTTACTTTTCACGTTGTAGTTCTTCTTCTTCACTTGCCGCTTGATCGGTCCGTCGGAAAATAGAGTCCCACGGTCACTTCTGTTGTGGCTTTTTAATGTGTTGCAGCATTTGCGTTTGTGTTGTGTTGCGCGTTTGCATTAAAATAGAGTCCCGTGCTCATTTCCGTTGTGGCTTTTTTTTTTTGATGTGTTGTGGCTTTTTGTTGTGTTGTCGCATTTGTATTTGTTGCTGGTTTGTGTTTGTTGTGACCCTCTCGGCTTCCGTAATTTACAAGTGCAGACAAAGAGTCACTGTTATAGCTTGGTAGAATAACATAAGTGTACCAACAATGGTAAAGTTAAGGATACAGGCAATGGTAAGAAACAACAAATGGGTCTGGTCAAGTGGTAACGGAGGGAAACAGGGGCAGATTTTTGACATTCAAATGTCTCTTATTCAGAAACTAGAGGAACTATTGAAATAAGTAAAGTATCAGAATGTAGGAAAGAGTTACACTCCAACAGGGTCAAGTTAAACCTGTGAGATTCTTTCAAGTTGTTGACAAAAAATTTAAAAACTCATGTCGGTAACGGAGGGAATGAAATATGCAGCACTTTTTGGGCAATAAATCCAAACAGTGATAACTCTTGGTTCTCACTTACATATCCTTAACAAACTGGTTTGAATATTTGCTTCATATAGTTTTCTACCATATGGTACAAGATTAGGTTGAAAAACCTCTTACTTTTTGACTCATGAGATTTTTTATTAAGAAAGTTCATGGTAACGGAGGGAAAAGTAACGGAGGGAAAATTGTACAAACAAGTAGAAGGTGCAGGATTTTACATCATTTGTCACTTTTTTCTTCTGAAAACTTTAATATTACTTCAAAATGAAAGAAACTATTTCTATAAAATATGTCAGTCCTTCCAAGCAAATTTTTATCATTTTCATCAACAGTTCAAAGATGGAATAACACAAGATATGATGAAATACATCCATTTATTTACATGATTTTCAGGTCTTTGAAATTTGGGAAATAATTTTTGTTCCATGTTTCATACATGGTCTGTTTAAAACATATGGAACTTTAGAACCAAAAATGGTACAGAAAAAAGGTCAACAGTTTCATAAACTAGAGTACATATGTATCTGTTCAATACATTTTTATATCAGATGCATTAACTTGAATTTTTGGCCTTGTTGTTTACTTCTGCTTGACTGGGCCCAAATACAAGTAATGTAACGAACAGCACAAACTGGAAATGGTAAGAAAACAACAAACATAAACCAGAGCTACAGAGGCAGTTTTGTTCTAATATTCTGACCCACTCTCCATATACTGTGACCAGACCATATGTTTATAGAACAACTTGAATTTATGGATATTTTGGCGTTACTTGAGACGTGTATCCAGACTGTTCCAGAGTTTTACAGACACACTGAAACTTTTACGGGCAGTTCGAACATTGGGCAATTTGAAATTTCCATACCCTCTAAAATTATAAGCTCTGTCTCTCATTTTGAACAAGCTTTGAATATTACTAGTAAATTGTTGCAAGCTCTGAATAAAATTACCAGTGTGTAATATTGTACAAGTTCAGGAATCTTGAGGAGCTTGAAGTGAATAAAAAGATTATGGGTGTGTTCTAAAAAAAAACAACTTTATGGATGATTCGCAAAGCTCGTTTCTGTAATTATCAATGGATGAAGTGTACGTGTTTCACTTTGTAAT